GTACGTAAAGATATTCAATACAATGCTCTCTAAACTTCTTCACATCTGTTACCAACGATATTTATAGCCCCTTGCTCGAAAATAGCCATTTCTAGCTGTTGGGGGTCATTAAATGCCCTACAGGACGCGAAGCTCGAGTTGCAAGATTGTTAGGACAGCCGGCTCTGTAGAGCCGGCTTAAACTTCCAAAGCCGGCTTTGCGGGATTCCTGCACATTCTATTTTCCTCGAGAGCCCGCTGCAAAACTTTGAGCTGGCTTTGCAACTCCAATTTTAAATACATTAAATAATCTTCAAATGACTCGACCGTTGCGCATTAAATGCACCCTCACAGCCGACTGCAAAGCCAAAGTCGGCTTTGCGTCTTTTTTCTGCGCGCGCCAAACAACGGTCTTCAAATTTTTGCCCGTAGAGCTGGCTGCATCTTCTAGAGCCGGCTCTCTGCATTTCCATTCACCAGAGCCGGCTGCACTTTACCAGAGCCGGCTCTCTGCACATTTTGAATTCTTTTGGTCTATTTTTAGTGCAATCCAAGTTTACTTGCAATCTTTTAGCAACTTAACTACACACTTAAATAAACCAATTAGTCACTCAAATGTGTTTTGTAATCATCAAAATCATAGGTACAACAATCTCCCCCTTTTTTATGATGACAAAACACTTTGAGAATTAATTAATGAAAGCACATATATACTTCAATATTAACCAGAATTTCAGCACAAGATACTCTAGAAAATGACATTAAATTCAGCATATTCTCTCCCCCTTTTTGTCATTCATCAAAAAGCACATAATCAACAATTAACTCCCTCTTAATTCATGCACATCAATCTTTAAAGCATTTAAGCATGATAACCATTAAGAAAAGTAATTTAAGCACGAAATGCTCCCCCTTAATTCATGCTATCAACCTTTAAAACATCAAGAATATGAATATAATCATCAATATAGCACCATAAACAACCAAAGTCATGAATACACTCATCAACTAATAAACTCCCCCTCAATAAGAGCATATAATCATCAAAATCATAAACAATCAATACCAAAAGTCATGCCAAGGCTAGGCTGGTTTGTGCGAGGAGAGAGAAACCCGAATGAGTTAAAAAGCTGCAGGAGAGCCGGCTCTAGTCCTAGAGCCGGCCTAACTCTAGAGAGAGAAGACTCTCAGGTTTTTGGGTTGAGCCGGCTGTGAAGAAGGTTGAGCCGGCTCTACTGGCCTTGATTGGAACAAGTAAAAGGTTTAGGGCTGTTTGGAAGACAATGCATCTTAATTTGATATTTCTTCATTTAACTAAGTTTAAATTGGACATCTATTACTAAATAATGCAACTTTAGTCATATATCAATGTATGCATCATCAAATATCATGAATATAATCAAGGTACACATACTAAGGTCATCAATATGCATAAATTCTAATAAGCAAATACATTAATTTCAAAAGCCATATCAAGCACTAGGATCTAACATGCTAAGCTCATTAATTTGCATAAATTTTAATAATCACATCAAATGATATCATATTCAACAAGCATATATATCAAAGAGTGAACACACATAAACAAATCATTAATAGTCATGCTAATGTGATTATACTTAATGAATAAATGCAATAGGATAAATGATACCAATTTGAGCACATGAGTGAAGCATTCAAAAACAAATTTCCTTTGCACTTCCACTCCAACATTCTTGTTGAGGCATAAGTCTTTTTAAGATCTACTTTGCTTTCCTTATGACTTTGCCATCAACTTTACCTACAAAACAAAATTAAGTTTTGATTTTTGGTACCCAAATTTGCTTGGGTCCATGGGGGCTAGTGCTTAAAGTTCCTTTTGGAACCCAAATTTGCTTCACTTTACCTTGAGCTATCAATCTCTTCAAAGGACATAATTAAGCAAAGTGTCCATTTGCACCACAACAATAGCAAGTAACATTAGGATGATAGGATTGACTTGCTCTTACAAAGGTAGTCTTAAAAGTCTTTTGCTTTTTAGAATAATTAAATCCAATGCCCCCTTTGTCATAAATACTTCTTTGAGATTTTAAGATAGAATCAAATTTTTCTCTACTCAAGGTAAATTTGGAAATCACATTCTCAAGATCACAAGCTTTTCTCTTTAAAACCTCATTTTCCTTCTTTAAATCTTCATTTCCTTTCTTTAAATCCTCATTTTCCTTTTTCAAAGCATTATTAGATTCCTCATTCATTAAAGAAGCAATCTCACCATTTAAAAAGGCATTCTCTTTAACTAAAACCTCATTTTGTTTTGAAAGAGATTCAATCTCATTTTTAAGCAATGAAATGGTTTTAGTAAAAGCAAGATTTTCATTCCCTAGTTTCTTGATATCATTTATAGAGCAATCAAGAACTTTGCATAAATCATTATAAGAATACTCAAAAGAATTTTCGTTAATTGAACTAGAGAAGTTAGAGTTTACCTCCTCATCATTGTAGCTATCTTCTTGAGCCATGAAGCAAAGATTTGCAACACCATTCTCCAAGGAGCTTTCACTTTCCGTTGAGCTAGTTTCATCATCACTCCAAGTGGCAACAAAAGCTTTCTTCTTCATGCTCTTCTCGTCTTTCCTCTCACTCTTCTTCAATTGAAAGCATTCATTTCTATAATGCCTCGTCTTGTTGCACTCATAGCATTTGATATGCTTCTTACTTGGCTTTCCTCTATCATCATCATCATCACTACATTGTCTTCCTCTAGAATAGTGAATTTCCTTGTTTCTTCTAGAGGATTTCCCTTTGAGGCTCTTCTTCATGTATTTCTTCACTTCCTTTGAAACTAATTTGGTGATGTTCTCTTCATTGCTAGACTCATCATTGCTAGCATCATCTTCACTTTCTTCTTTTTGTTTGCTAGCCTTGAATGCAACATCCTTCTTCTTCTTCTCAACTACTTCAACTCCACCATCAACTTGAACTTCTATCTCATATGTCATCAATTTTCCAATGAGATCTTCAAGCTTGAGAGTGTTGAGATCCTTAGATTCTTCAATTGCGGTCTTCTTGGCTTCCCAACTCTTAGGCAAGCTTCTAAGAACCTTTCTCACCACTTTTTGAGGAGGATAGACTTTACCAAGAGCCTTGAGATTGGTGACTATATCATTCAATCTTGTATACATATCTTGAATGCTTTCCTCCGGTTTCATATTGAAAAGCTCATACATGTAAATGAGTCTATTCATTTTTGACTCCTTCACTTGGCTTGTTCCTTCACGTGTTACGTTCAACATGTCCCACATCTCCTTAGCCGTATCACACCTAGAAACTCTATGGAATTCCGTTGGATTGAGAGCACATTGAAGTATGTTGATTGCTTTGTTGTTGATCATGATCTTCACCAAGTCTTCATCATTCCATTCAACTTCTTCCTTTGGCACCTCACTTTCCCCAACTACTTTCATAGGCACATATGGACCTTTCATAGTCACAATCCATGCCTTGGGCACATTTGCAAGCATGAAGACCTTCATCCTATTCTTCCAATAATTATAATTAGTACCATCAAAGAAAGGAGGCCTAGTGGTAGACAAACCTTCAAGTGGTTGAGAAGCTTGAAATTGAGCCATCCTTGATCAACTCCTAGGTGGTTAAACCTTCAAATTGAAGCCCTTGCTCTGATACTAATTGTTGACTCAATGCACTCTAAGAGGGGGGTGAATTGGAGTTGGAGAATTTTCGCCTCTTTGCAACCACCAAACAAAAATTAAAGAGAGAGTGAAGAAGAAGAGCTTGCACAATG